CTGTGTACTACTTAGTTCTTTCAAAGATACAGAGGTATTGTTTCTACAATCATGTTGAAATTGCTAGATCATGGAAGAAGCCCAGGTGCCCATCAATCCACAAATGGATCAATAAATTGTGGTATATGTACACCATGGAATATTATGCAGCCCTAAAGAAGGATGGAAACTTTACCTCCTTCATGTTTACACGGATGGAGCTGGAAAATATTCTTCTTAGCAGAGTATCTCAAGAATGGAAGAAAAAGTATCCAATGTACTCAGCCCTACTATGAAACTAACTTGTAGCTTTCATAGGAAAGCTATAACCCAATTATAGCCTAAGAATATGTGGAAAGGGGAGAGGGAGAGGAGGGGAAGGGGGATGGGTAGAGGGAGGGTGATTTGTGGGATCACGCCTATGGTTCATCTTATAAGGGTACATGTGAATCTTTCTAAATGTAGAATATAAATGTCTTAACACAATGACTAAGAAAAAGAACTGAAGGCTATGTTAACCAGTTTGACGAAAAATTTTTTAAATTGTATATAAAAACAGCACACTGTACCCCATGACTATATTAATGTGCACAGTTATGACTTAAAAAAAATGAATATTATTTACCACATCAACTTCAAGTTCTAATCGATCCAAGGCAAAGTAACAAATAGGCTCCATGTTTCTTTTTTTTAAGCATATAATATAGTCCCTTTACCTAACTTAGTAAAGGTGGAGCAAATCAATTTGACCCAAGGATTTTCACCTCCTTACTAGATCCCCTAGTTTTCAAAGTTCAGCATTTAATAACTTTTTTTATATAGTCAATTAAATTAAAGTTTATTTGTTGTTTGAACCCATTTTATAACAAGCATCTTTCTGGTTAGGTTGTATGACTGTAGTAATGGTACACTAATTTGAAGTAAATTTGAGAAAACTGTGTTATAATGAAATGTTTGAATTTTAGAAAGTTTAGAAGCCTTCTTAACTCCATTTTATTACATTTAAGAGTTACACAAGTTATAAGGAAAGGTATGAATAGGCAAATATGAAATTAGGCTATTTAGAATTAAAATGTATAACAAATATAGGATAGCTATCTCAGATTCATATCTTTATCATGTTTAGATTTAAAAAATCTAATTTCATTGCATACAAGTAGCAAATAATGATTAATAAATTTTGTAATAAATCAGTACTCTCCAAAATTTTGTTGGTCTCATTTCTGTCCCTAGTGCTAGCATCTTCTGGGTACCTTTTTTTTTTTAAAACAAAGAAATGTTACATTTCTTCACAAACATCACGAGGGCCATAGCAAGTAGCAAAAAAAAGTCATAATCAGATGGGGTTGCCGAGTCTAGTAACTTTACTTGCTAGTTCAGTATAAATTATCATGTGTCACGGACATTTGGGGTCATTTGCCTGAGTGTTCGATTCCTGAAAATTGAGAGTCTACTCTAGTAATCTCAACTCTGACTACCCATTAGAATGATCTGGAGAAATTTTTTAAGGTATAGGTGTCTGAGCTTTACTTTCAATGATTCTGATTAGTAGATCTCTTATATTAAGCTATGAAGAGAAATGTTCAAAGAGGCACAATCGTCTAATTAGCATTGTATTGCTTATCTTTATTTATTAAAATGAATGATCCAGGCTCCACACCTGTAGCTCAAGTAGCTAAGGCACCAGCCACATACACCTAAGGTGGCAGGTTCGAATCCAGTCGGGGCCCACCAAAACAACAGTGACGGCTGCAACCAAAAAATAGCTGGGCGTTGTGGCAGGCGCCTGTGGTCCCAGCTACTTGGGAGGCTGAGGCAGGAGACT